TATTTCAGAACTGTAGGCAAGTCTTCTGTGAAGGGAGACCATCAAAGTTCAGCTGGAAATTAAGTAGTTGGTAGTCCTGAAGACAGGAAGGAGTTTCACCCAGATTGATACCTGCAGGTTTCAGCATCCTGTGCTGAGAAACAGTGTCTGAGCTGATCAGTCATTAGCAATTCTTCTAAAGTCTCAGGGTTTTATTTTTATAGTTCTTTTTCTTGCTGCATAGAGAACTGGGAGCTATTTCCGCAGCCATTTACGCCTCTGTAAATTGGTTAACGAAACCAATTCCTAGTAAACATTCAGGCATCTTGAAGCCTTTTTGTCTGGCAGGAAGTCTCCTTCCATGTCTAATCAGCTGGTGCCTCTCCTTTCTCACAGGGTGGAAAGGGGGAGAAAGGAGCCCGAGGAGAGGCTGGAGCCCCTGGAGAGACTGTGAGTAATTGCTTCCCTTGCAGCATTTTTCCCTGACAGTAACACACCTGAAGGGACACTGACATTAACATCTTGTGGATTTGCAGTCCCAGGCTGTTTGAACACAGAGCACATCCTCATCCACAGCTGGAGGAGGCTGTTTGTGGGCAAACAGGACCATCTGCACCAAACAGATCAATGCCCCATTCAGCCCAGCTGAAGGTTGTGCATCTTTTCCTGTTCAAGTCTCTCCCTGCCTAACAAAACACCCTTTTCTGAGTGAGTGTGACTGCACTGCAATGTCAGCCCAGCTCAGGCAGCCGGCTGGAGCAGGGAGCTCACTACTCAGCAGCAGCAGGAATTGGTTTTTGATCATGGGTGCTTTTAGGCTTCACTGTTTTTTTTTGTTTTGTTTTGGTTTGGTTTTTTTTGTTTTGTTTTGGTTTGGTTTTTTTGTTTTGTTTGTTTTGTTTTGTTTTGTTTTGTTTTGTTTTGTTTTGTTTTTTAATACTGGCTCATCCGAAAACTCATCCCACATCCCTTTTTGAGGCATTTGTTCTTGTCTTTCTGTGTGCTTAGGAATAGCAAAGGATTCCAGTCCAGTTTTATTATTGTGAGATAATATGAGATCTTTGCAGCTGAATAAAAGGCCTCAGACTTTCTTTGCAAGCCAAGAAGGAAGAAACACTGAAGAACTGTTTGAAATATTGATTGAGAGAGGGGATGACTGTGATTAGGAGAAGGAGGGAATAGGAAATCCAAATTATGCATCCTAGATCACTGAAATTTCTTCTTCCACCTTTGTGTTCATGGTTTCTTTACTTGGGCTTGTGCTTAGACATTGTCCCTGAGGAGTACTTTGACCCTAAACTCTGAACTGCCTATTTCAGGTGTCTTTCACTCTTGGTTGAAGGACCCTTTAGTATTTTGGATAAGAGGGGAAAAAAAAAGTGAAAACCATCCCTCTTCCATGAAATCCTAGTTTTATTTCTTTGTGTCACGTGGTGGCTCAGAGGATGTTTATGATCTGGAAATGCAGGTATTTTCAGGCACCTTCTCTTTTCTTGCCATCCTTTCACAGTCTGCTGCTGCTCTGAGTGTTTCTGTTGGCTCATAGACCAGTGACTGTAAATAACACAGAAATGAGGAAATTTTAAAACCTCTGCCATAAGCAAAGGCTGAGAGGGTTGGGATTGTTCAGCCTGGAGAAGAGAAGGCTCCAGGGAAATCTTGGAGCCCCTTTCAGTGCCTAAAGAGGAGATACAACAGAGCTGGAGAAGGACTTTCAACAAGGGCATGGAGTGATAGGACAAGGGGGAATGGCTTCAGACTGAGAGTAGGTTTAGATTAGTATTAGGAGGAAATTATTTCCTTTGAAGGGGATGAAGCACTGGCACTGGTTGCCCAGCTGGTCTAGTGGAAGGTGTCCCTGTTTATGACAGAGGGTGTGGAACCAGATGATGTTTAAGGCTCCTTCCAACCCAAATCTATGGTTCTTTGAAACCTCTAAATACAGCCTGATAACCCCAAACACACATTTCTATGGGGACATAAATCCTCAAATATATGTCCTCTAATGTATCCCATGAAATTTTGGGGACACACATGGGCTTTTTCATGCTACAAAGCTTTGACTTGCAAATAGATAAAGACCTGCAATTCAAAACTATACATTCTGAATGGTTTAGGCTATTTCACTTGTTTAGTGCAAAAGAATGTTTTCAGGTTTTTTCCCCCACAGCAGAGAAAGGTAGAATTGTCAACAAAGCATATTTTGTTGACCTAAATTTTTTTTTGTGATAAATCAACATTCTTTACTCTGTTCTTCTGATGTTTCTGGCCCAGACTTTCCTTCCTGTATCTGAGCTAGATTTAGGATTTCTTTTGATAGAAGGTAGCTTTAAGCTCCCAAAGAGAGCTTTCATCCATTTTGTATTGTTTCATTATTCTTTACACTAAATAGTTTCAAACAAATGTGCTATCTTTTGCCTTCTTGATGTACAACACCTTGTCTGACATAAAATCCAATCTCAATTGGAGCACCTTGTTCCTATGGTGATACAAGTTGCGATATGCACACACACACATTTCATTTTTCTTAAAACAGGGTTTGAGTGGACCAGCAGGGCCCCCAGGACCAAGAGGCTTGCCAGGAAATGTGGTAAGTATGCACCAGTGTATTTGTTTTCCCATCTGTGCCCTGATTTCTTTATTTAACATGTTTAGTTTTCCCTTCCATGGGGATTACTATGAAGTTCAAAAGGCTGTCTTTCATTAAACTTTCTTCTTATGGCTGAATTGAAAGATCTGGAGGCACCTGGGAATGGCGTATCCATTAACTATCTTCTCATATTCATTTTATCAAGGAAACAGAGCTGCTTCATTCCTCACCAAATTGTTAAAAGTAATCTTTGCTGCCAACTCTTCAAGAGAAAAAATTCAATGTTTATTGTGTCTTTGGTTTTGTTTTCTTTGCCTTTTTTTCATTCATCCTTTCCTTTTGTAAACAAGACTTCTTGATATAAAAATATCATAGTAAACACCCACTTTTATTATGAAAGTGTGTAGGCATTTGAGCCTAAAGACCCTTGAAATCAGTGCAGTGTCCCCCTTACAGGTGTTCATCACCACTATTAATTTGTGTATGACAAAATTTTTCATATTTGCTAAAAAAGTCTTTGGATTAACCCTACTCCCAGCTCCATTGGGGTAATTTTCTTTCTAGTTCCTGGGGTTTCACTGAGCTTAGACTGAAGTAGGTGAAAAACAGCATTTAGACCTCAGGATATGATGTATTCAGGCACAGGAGTTTAGAACATAGCGCTATTAGAACCAGAGTTTATTACCTTGGCAATCCAAGAAAACTTAAATTGCCCTTCAACTAATTGTTAAGATACATTTGATTTAATTATATTAATGTAGTGATTTAACTTCAAACTGAAAGGTGATATTGAAAATTAAGAACTTTTCGATTTCATATTCCATTAAGCAAACTTCTATACCAGTAATACCAATATATTACCTATAAAAGCCAATATAGTTGGAAATAATTTTTACTGGTGCAGAAAGGAAAATAATTATCACATCCATTCTGAGGTCAATCCAATCTTAATGGTGCCAAGACATGATTTCACATCTTAAAACGAAGTACTATTCTAAAATATGTTTTGGTGGGTTAGGAAGTTACAGTACTTAATTTAGAGCTCTAAATCATCTATATTTTGACACAGAGTCCTCTGAGACCTGCCAAGATGTTAAAAGGATTGAAAACTGAAATAGGGGAAGAAATGAACACAGCTATATTTCCTGGTGTTGGGAGGCTTTTGGCTTCTCTGATACAGAGGTGGTGATTGGGGGTTGTTGGTATTGAGAATTTCACAAAATGAAAGAAATAGTTACTGGTAGAATGCTCAAATCTGATACTAGCTCCCTTTCTGCTTTTTCTGTTCAGCTATTTTTTATACTGAAAATGAAATTCCTCCTTTAAGGACCCGTTACAGACATTCTGTGGTGTTCTCTGGATTACAGGTTTTCTGTACTGGGAAATGCAGGGCTGATACTGACCCTTGAGATAAACTATACTGAACCCTCAGGTCTGCTCCTTTGTTTAAAATCCAATACTGCCTATAAAAAAAACCTTCTAAGCTTTTAAGTTCTTTTCATTCTAGGGTGGGCCTGGAGTCCCTGGACTCCCAGGAAAGGCAGGAGAAAAGGGGGAAAAGGTGAGTTGATTCTTTGATGGGTTTGTTTCTTTTTGTCTTGAGCATTTTAAATAATAGGGACAGATGTCTTCTGAATGGGGAAATTATTTTGTAGGTTCATGGATGGTTAAGACACATGGGTTCATGAATTTATCTTGTCTGAACTCCTCTATTAAATGTGCTGTAAGGTTTTCACCGAGTTGCAACTTCATAATTTACCTAATAAACCACTGAGTTATGACTGGATATAGTGAAGTCACTGCTACACAATTATGGTCTTCATTACCTGACAAAAGTGGGCATTTGATGTTTTAAGAAACTCCTGTTCATCACTGTAAATCCAAAGCTGGAAGAAAAACTGGCTTTCTGTCCCCTTTCATGAGCTTTCTGAAGCCAGGGGCTTGTGTTTGGTCATGCACCCAGAGTGCCCAGCATGCTGGAGTCCTGATCTTTGTTTTCTGGAGTAGGAATGATTAATCAGAAACATGACCCCCTATATCCATATATTTGAGGCTTAAAAGGGAATGAATCCCAGCTCCTTCAGTAAAATCAGTGTCACCGCAGGGATAACCAATTTTCACGAGTTCAGGTTGGGATGTGCTCCATGGAGAGAGCACACTACCACATATTGCTGCTTCTCAAAACATTTTGAAGTCTTCTTTTACTTTCCTTAAATTACAAGTGCTTTGAGATTACTGAAGGAAAAGAATTCTCATTAAAGAGGTTTTCTTATGATAGCAAAAGGAATCCAGGTGAGACATCTAGGAAAATATCTATGTCTTTCAGTTCCAGTGAAAGATCTGAGATGGTAATTATCTATAGTATTCTAATGAGTTCTGATGGTTTCTCTTTTACAGGGTGATCCTGGAAAAGAAGGAAAAGTGGGTTTACCTGGGCCACCTGGTGAGCCAGGGCGTGCTGGAGAGCCAGGTTTGCCTGGGAAGGGTAAAGATGGAGAAAGGGTAAGTACTGCTGGAAAGCTTTGTGCTTGACTAGTTCAATATGTAAAAAAAAAAAAAAAAAAAAAAAAAAAAAAAAAAAAAAAAAAAAAAAAAAAAAAAAAAAAAAAAAAAAAAAAAAAAAAAAAAAAAAACAAAAAGAGAGAGAGAGAACTGAAGATATATTTCTGAAATTTATATTGAAAACAGAGACCTCCAACAAGGAGTAGCTATTGTCCTTGTTACTAGTACAAAAATTATTATCTTGATGGAAGTTACCTAAAAGCTTTTAATTCCTGCCCAGCTAACAGATTGTTTAATTTGGTTACATGTTTTACTGGTAAAGTAAAATATTGCCAGGATAGTGTCAGCTTAGGAGGGCAGTGATGAGAGACTTGCTGCCTTGATTGTAGCAAACTCCAAGCTTTTGTTTGGCTGGATGGTGACTGTTTTCTTGGTTTGCTTTTGTCACTTTAGGGGGAAAGAGGACCACCAGGCTTGCCAGGACCCTTTGGACATAAGGTGAGGATGGACTTCATTGTGGACTGGTCATCTTAATCACTTTAACTGGAGAGAAGAACATGGTGCAAACATGATCTGTTTTCCACTGGAAAATAGAGTTTGCAAAGCTCTGACTCAAAAATGCACTTCTAGCCTTCTAGAGGGTTCCTCTCTTTATTATTCCAGCATCTCTGTGGATGTAAATACTCAAATATGAATTAGCTGTGTTCACTTTCCACATTTAAATACATTCCAGCACTATAGGAGTTCAGCACAGATGGAGGTCTCAGCGCACACTTTTCAGGGAAACTGTGACTGGGACCCTTTAATCCATACAGCCAGGGAGATACTGCATGGCTCTGGGGTGATCTGCTCTCACCTGTCAGCCCTAAAAGAAAACTTTTCCCTAGCACTCATTCCCTTCACCTTTCTGCAAGGATATGAATTATTTCTCCAGTAGAACCAGGTAGTCCTGGTATCCCCCTCCTCTACTGAGGCAAAGACTGGCTAGTTGAAAAGGTTGATATCACTAACTTCTGCTGAAAGTAATGTTTATTCCCTTATAATCACACAGAAAAGAGAGAAAGGAATAAAACAGCAGAAATCTTTGATTCTGGGAGGATCTGGATTATGCTTGAACATTTAATCAGACATTTCAAAAACTGTTCTCTTCAAAATTACCATTTTGTGATGTGGCCTGGAAGAAGAATCAGATGTTCAAATAGATTTTGTAAGTGATAGAAGCAGGATTATAGGAGTCTGAGACCCAATCCATCTACATCCCATATTTTTGAAATAACCAAACTGCTATGATTTTTTTTTAATTTTGATGCATTTTGTACAAATGCATTGTAGTCTTTTCTATATATCTTTGACAGTTCAGAACACAGACCTACACCCACACAGACACACTCTAATAGACTGAGAATTACTATAAAAGTCAGAAAAAGACACTAAAAGAAATCTCATTAAGTATTCTATTCAATAGCAACAGAAGATTATAAAAGTCTTAATTGTGTGTGGGAAAATACTATTTAAATTTTTGTATTAAAATTATCTTTCTGAATAAAGTAACTGATAAGGGATGTGTGGAGTGTTTGAACTAATCAGAATGCATTTTTTCTCACTGGCCTTGCAGTATTATTTCTTTGTAGTAAAAGATTAACTTAAGAAGAAAGCAAGAAAGGGGGAAAATATGAGATATTGCAGATTTAAATTTGAGTGGGCAGAATCCACAGGTAAAAATTTTTCTATCATGCTTCTATATAGCTAGAAATAATGTCATAATAAATAGCATAAATAAGATTGGTTGTTATAAATCTACTGCCAACGTGAGACCAAATCTCCCAACTGCAATGCAATCCATAAAGATCTTATTGATTTCTCCCTATAACTAGAAAACAGATGTTAAATGAAAGTCTTACAGCTGAATTCTTTCTTAGCCCTCTGTCTGCAGTGTACATTGAACAATGTCAACCTGTTTTCTGTGCTTTTCAGGTTTTACTTTGAAAATCTGTTTTTTAGAAGGGAAGGTTTTCCTTTTCTAGTACAGTGCTTGAGAGAGAGTGGTAGGAGTATTGACTCACATTTTACCAAAATAATTTCATACACTTCTGTAAGTAGGTCTACGTTGGTAAAGGAAAGACTATTAAGATGCAGTAGAACTTCCCTAATCCTGTCTTCCCTAGATAAATGATCTATGTTCAGCAATTTTTGTGCCTTAGCCTTCTACCACAGAAGCACAGAGAGAGAAAAGTGATTTATGGTGCTTAGTGCTTCCCCAAGCCAAGGAAAGCGCCTGCTACCCTGTGAAGTCACTGATTCTGGAAGTGTTGTGGATGTGGCTCTAGGGGGTATAATTTGGGGTGATTAAGGTGCTGCTGGGCTGGTGGTTGGACTGGCTGATCCTGAAGCCTTCTTCCAACCTTGGTGATTCTGTGAAATGCTGGAAATTTGATGTGGTACACTGAAATAAATGAACATGTGCAAAGATTGTGTTTCCACTCAGTTCTGTGATGTGATGTGGCACACTGAGCCTGCAGAGGTGGGCTGGGGCCCTGGGGTGGAAAAGGACAGTGGCATGATGAGACAGTAAATGTCCCCATGCTGCCACAAGTAGAATCTGTCCCTCTGTGGGCAGGATTAGGACCCGATGTACTGATGTGGCATTTTGATGTACCACCTGCTTGCATTTCAGCACATTTTCTCATCAGTGCACAAAGCTTTTAACTCTTTCCTTTATTTCAGGGTGAGAGGGGAGCTCCTGGCCTCCCTGGACAGCCAGGAGACAGAGGAGTGCCAGGAGTTGGCCTGCCTGGACCCCCTGTAAGTAGCAGCTCCTGCTGCAACCTGTAACGAGGTGGAAAATCAGACACTGCCACCTGGGAATGTGTTGTCAGTGCTCAGCTATGCTGAGAGCCTGTGGGACATTTTGCCTTCTGAAGGTGAAAATTCCAGAAGAGTCCAGAGGCTGCCATTTGTAGCTCACACGTCACATGTCTGCTATGAGGGCTAAAAGTGCTGTGGGATTGATTTGGGTCACTCCTGAATTTTGTCAGGACTGTCACTCCTGAATTTTGTCCATTATCCTGGTGCACTGGCTGTGGATGAGGGTGGAGATCTGTGCCAACACTGCAGCTCTGGTCTCCTGGACAGATACAGCCATGCCCACATCAGTGACATAGCGACACTCCAATAGCAAAATGCAAAATCAGATTGCTTAAATTGCTGTGTTCCAAGAGGGCTCTCCTCCCCAGAATTTCCCACAAATAGTTGGTAGGTTTGACCTCATCCAGCTCTGCCCTCCTGACTATCAGTTGGTCCCATGATGTATCTGGGAGTCTGCTCGGAAAATTTGGATTTTCCTGTTGCTGCGCTTTGATCACTCCAGTACTTGTCATGTGCAACTCCTCTAGAAATGAGGGGGATTTGGGAGTGCTCTGGCAGTAGTCCTGCTCAGAGACCTCCAGCTATTCACTGAATTTGCCAATGAAATATGTTTAAGAGGAAGCAAATGCTATTTCTGGCTGTAATTGCAAGAGGACATCTGAGCCCTTGCATTGTTTTGCAATACCTCATACATGCCATGATCCTGGACCAGTCATCAATATTTGGTTGTTAGTGCTCTGTTTATCTAGCTATAAATGTCCCAATTAGTACAAGAAGTTGCTCTGAAATTATAAGTCATATTCCTGGGTAATGAATTGAAAAATCTGGCTTTCTCAGGTATATATCCACTTAACATTTGCTTTTACCGTGCTGAATTCTGAGTTAAATCAGACTGGGTTGATCCTGTTTCACACTGTGATTGTATCATGGCTTTTATGGTCCTCACAGGGTTAAAAATGACTGCAGGTTTCCTTTGATTTATCTAAGAATCTATAGATTTATCTATGATTTATCTAAGGAACCAGGGGTGTTCTTGCACTTCTGAATGTTCAGCCATTAATTAAATTAAATTAATAAATGAGTATCTAGCTTGTTTGAAAATCACTAGCTATGGACAGTCTTTAATTACAGATTTTTAGATTCAGTCCAGGGCTAGATGAGTTCATGTCTGCATCCTGATGTACACAGGATGACAAAGTTGTTCTTCACTGGGGATTTAGCATCCTCATCTCCATAAACACAAATGACTAAGGACTTGACTCCAAATGCAGACATCTCTTGTCTCACACCAGAAGATTGGTTTTTTCGGTGTCTTCATTATTTGCCCACTGTCAGGATGTGTAGCCACCTACACACCACACTGTTCTCAAATTATATGTTTTATTTATTTAATTTGCTTTACTAAATTCTTCTTTAAAAAAAAGGAAACAAAACCCAACAAAACAACAACCAAACCACTATTATGATGGGTTTTTTTTCCACTGTAAATTCATCATAACCTCAGCTCCAGTGCAAAGACTGGAATTGGATTCTGAAAAAAAACGTAATAATATAACCTTAAAACTAAAAGACTGTCACAAAGACTGAATCCCACAGTAAAAAAAAAAAAAAAAAAACAACAAAAAAAAAACCCAGAATAAAATCAGTGTAGTTGCTTCAGTGCATATTACATGCTGAATTAAAGATGTCAGCCTCTACTCTTTTTAGCGATGTGACAAAATTGTGTTTATAATACTTCAGCTTCAGAGCTGAGAGCCAACAACTCTTTTTAATTGGAATCCTCACCCTGTTTCCTCGTGTGTGTGTGTGCCCTTAACCTCTCTCAGGCTTTGCTCCCTGCACAAAATGTATATATAGATGAGGATTTTTTTACCTTATCTGCTGAAGTATTGAGTTACAATTTACATAACACTGAGCCATAAATTTGAGCATTAGCAGAGTGTGTTATAGAGTAGGGGACAGCTTAGACAATTGGGGTGAATTCACATGTTTATATTGAGGCTGCCTAATGCATGGATGCACAGTATAAGTAGAAAGGCTTCAATTTTGCCCTGCTTTGCCTTGTGGGTATTAATTAAATTATTCATTTAGCCATTTCTTTAACATGCA